AATAATGATCACGCCACCAAACACACATTCAGACTAAAGGAACCAGCCTGTTTGGAAAATGAGAGAAGTAGAAAGTACAGGTATTTGAGTTCAACATGTAAGAAGTAGAAAGTACAGGTATTTGTGTTCAACATGTAAGAAGTAGAAAGTACAGGTATTTGAGTTCAACATGTAAGAAGTAGAAAGTACAGGTATTTGAGTTCAAAATGTAAGAAGTAGAAAGTACAGGTATTTGAGTTCAACATGTAAGAAGTAGAAAGTACAGGTATTTGTGTTCAAAATGTAAGAAGTAGAAAGTACAGGTATTTGTGTTCAACATGTAAGAAGTAGAAAGTACAGGTATTTGTGTTCAACATGTAAGAAGTAGAAAGTACAGGTATTTGAGTTCAACATGTAAGAAGTAGAAAGTACAGGTATTTGTGTTCAACATGTAAGAAGTAGAAAGTACAGGTATTTGTGTTCAACATGTAAGAAGTAGAAAGTACAGGTATTTGTGTTCAACATGTAAGAAGTAGAAAGTACAGGTATTTGTGTTCAACATGTAAGAAGTAGAAAGTACAGTCAGGAAAATAAGTAGTGGAGTAAAGTACTGATACCAGAAACATGTACTTAAGTACAGTAACAAAGTATTTGTACTCCACTACTTCTCCCCTCTGGATTTAGTCCTTGTGTGACTCAGTATCAGTTCTTCCGGTACCTGTGGGTTGTGTTTCCCGTATCTGATGCTGGACGGCAGGAGAACCGGTTCTTCTATCCGGTCGTCCCAAATCCCGAACGAGTCCCAGGCGACGGGTCGGACTCTGACAGCGCCGCTAACAAACCGAACTCCAACACCTTTGTTCGAGGCCCCGCCCACCTGCAGGACGACCAATCAAATCAGAGAATAAACTATTAAGGTCAGGCGGAGATCAAATGGGATGCTAAATACGTTGATGAGGTTGTTTACAGATGTATGGTGGTATAGCTCATGGACTCAAAGGAGTGTCGTGAAGAAGGATAATTAAATAAATGTGGAAATATAAAAGTCAAATAATACATATAATAAAAATAACAAATAAATGTAAATAAATATAAAAAGACAAATATAACAAACAAATACAAATAATTATAATTATGAGCAATTTAATACATGTTCACATTAATCTTTTCATTTATTTCCATTAATATTATTAAGATTTTGGAAAATATTATTACAATTATTATTTCTATATAAATGTGTTCACAATTCTTTTGAGTACATTTAATTTAAAATAGGAATGTATGTATTTATTGTGCATTTCTTGCTTTTAATTGTCTTTTTTCTTTACTTTTCTAAAAGGGCTTTACCCATTTGATCTGATCCTACTGTTTATTTAACTCTGTTTCTTAAATTGAGAACTCTAGAAAAGTGTTGAATCAAATCCTAATATGTCTCCATAATCTGTTATAATATTCAAAAATCTGCCATTGTGTTTGGTTTGTGTTACGTGACGCCTCACCTGTCCGGGCGCTGTGCAGGTGTGATGGGAGGGGCGTCGGGTCAGGAGGGAGCGAGAACACCTGAGCAGGTGGAGGACAACTGGAGACGACATTTCTGAGGAAACACCCGGCCGGCAGCGGCTCTGAAATTAAATATAATACATAAAGTCAGACAATGATCACCTCTTTTCACCCTCTGTCTGAAACCAGAGCCCAGTCTGCTCTGATTGGTTCGCCGGCCGGCTCTGTTGTGATTGGTCAACCGCTCAAAGATGTCCCGCCCCCTTACGCCTATCACGTACAATGAGTTGGAGCGCTAGCCAATAGGAGCGTGAGTGTAACATAGTGATGTCACTGTTTTTCTAGAAGTACAGTAAAAGAGCTTCATAGCGCCTCTTCAATAGAACTCATTAAATATCCACAGGTACAGAAGTAATCAAAGAACTCTACTAAGAGAATTCAATATTTAAAAGGAAATAAAATATAGAAATATTATAAAAACTATCACAACAATAAAACATTGAAAAGACAAATGTTTACAAGAAATATAAATATTGAAAAAAAAGGAAATTCAATAGAAAATATGACATTTTGTTGGCTTTGTGAAACACGAACATTAATAAAAATCCTCCGTTAATTGCGTTAAAAGAATGAGGAAAAGGTACGCAGGGTAAAGACAGTAATGATTGTGCCGTCCATCAGGATGTTGTTATAAATAAACTGATGACAGGAGTGGCTTTCCGTTCCTCCAGCTAGTGTAACTTTACGCTTCAGCCAGTGGACACGCTTAAAGTCAAAGTCCTTGCTTCAATATATCTGTATAATGTTCAGAAATGAGAATAAAATGTGCATTGATTAAGCATGTCAAAGCAAAGGAAGAATGGAAGATCGTTGCACAAACATTTTGACCACAAACCTAAAAAGCCTGCTAAATGTTAGGTCTTTTTTGGGTCCACTTCCTACAGTGTACCCCACTCATGCCCCCCCACCCCCAGCTGTGTTTGAGCCTCATATCCATTACACATCAGGTGAAACACACACACGCTGAGCTCTAAAAATACTCAGTCTGCTGACTTCATTTGGGAAGAAGCTGGAAAAAGAAACGCCTGCAACGGAAAAATCCCAATCCACACTTAGGGCTTTTATTTTGAAGAACTGGCTTCAAATATAGGAAGCTAATTAAAGCAAAAATATTCTTTATAAAGGCTAAAAACAAAACAAGCGAACAGATAAGTAATACAATATAAACAGTGGCTGAACGAGCTTCAAAAGTAGAAAAAGCAAAGTGTAAAAATGTTAAGTACAAGTAAACAAAAACAAACTTAAAGTACTCAAAGTAAACGTTGTTATACTGTAGGACAGAATAGCACTCTTTATTAGCATTTAATCCTAATATTGGATCAAGATCATGTTACATTTCTCTATTCATCGCATGTGCAACAGTTACATAGAAGCAGCAAAAGAAAATGATAGAGACATGGCAACAAAGTGACACAAAAACACACAAAATGATGGAAATTGTGTACTTTTGACATTTAAATAAAGTGCAAACATATATAATATTTCCTACCAAAACGTAGCACAGAAGACGTTTAAAGTTGTAGAAAATGGAAATACATGTACCACCTCAATGTGTAGTTAATTAAATGTGCTGTTACTTTCCAGTAATGTCACCTTGACTCAATTTCCGTGTGACGCAGTCTTTAGGGAAAAAGCTGTGTTGGTAATCAATACTCCTACAACACCACGTCTCTAACTCTGAGCCAGGAAACAAACGTCAGAGAAGTTAAACATTGTGCAGTCTGTGCATAATGACCTTTAAATGGCACTGCAAAATAAACACATGTGAACTGGTGTTAAAAACACAACAATGCACATGTGTGTTTGGGTTACCCACTGACCCACATGCCAATAACATCAAACCACCCACTTTCCTTTTTCTGATATATTTATAAAGCAGAATTTAGGTTTTAAAAATGAATTCATGCAGTCCAATATGTTTAAGAACGATCCATCAGATGGAGTACAACCGACTAAATATGTATAATACTATGCAGCACCAAAAATACTGCATGAATGATAATACTTAGATATAAAATAAATATTAAAATTGATTAATAATAATAAATATATAATGCTAATAATAATAATTAATAATATTACTACTAATATTACTAATACTACTAATAATAACAATAACCAAACCTTGTCAAATTAAGTTTTAAAATAGGAATATAAAATAATAAAGATAAAATAACAAATATACAAATATATATTTAAAAAATATTGAGACCCAGAGCAGAAAATAAATATTGGAGATGATCTGAAAGCCAAAAACTAACCATTTAATGGTATATTATAGTATAATATAGTATATTATAGCCAAACATAGCCAAAGGCATTAACAATAGGCTATTATAGTATTTAAACAATGGATATAATAATGAACAGCACACAGGAAAGACTATTTGAAGAACTAATGTAAAGAACATGTTAAATAAAGTCACTATAAACTAATTTTAAGTCTTTCTTTAATTTAAAAACGTTAAAATGGCGGTTTAAAAAAAACTCACCTTCTTCTTTCTTTCTTCAGTTGGTGATATTTTTCCCGCCTTTGCTGTTTCCGTGGCAACAGGTGTTCTCTGGCTCCAGCCCTCACGAGTTCGAGTGGGGCTTGGCTCGAGGGCGTTTTATATGAGCTCTCAGTCGTCCAATCAGAATCCGAGCACAGTGCTGACGTCACTGCTGAACACGGTGTGCTTGGTTTTGGCGCGAATCCAATAAGAAGGAACTGTTAGTTCTTATAGCAAACAAATAAATAGATAACTATAAATAATAATAATTTAAAAATACTAAATCAATTAAATTAATACATTTACTTAAGCTGATACATTGACTTAGATCTCGTTTTTATGTGTAGAAATATTTAAAAAACGTTACCTGGTTCAGAATAATGTGCATTGTTTCGGCGCAAATCCAAGAAGAAGAAATTGTTCTGCCTCTCTCTTTCTCCTCATTTAATTAAAAATAAATAAATACAACTCTAGAAACTTAAGTCCAGTGATGCTTAGTACCTAAAAACCTTAACTAAAGTTGAATATGTTGATTTATTTATTTAGAAACACTTAAATGTTTAGAAAACGTTTAATAAGGAAACAACATGTCCTCAGTAACATTAGCTTAACAATTACAAATGTATCATTTTAAAGATAATAATTACTTACATTTATATAGTGCCTTTCACATACCCAAGGACGCTTGGGTATAATATACACTCGTTATTTGGTACGCACAATAACTCATAATGGCCTTCAGAGGCTGCCAGGAAGGATAGAAAGTAACTAAGTACATTTACCTTCACTTAAGTACTAAATATCAACTTTTGGTATTTTTATTTCACATTTAAGTATGAATCATGCTTTTTATTGTATAATTTACTCATGCATTTATGTAAAAGCTTTAGTTACTGCCATACTGTAAAAGGTAGAACAAATACAAAAATATTGTTTACATACATTTACCTATAACATTCTGAATACTTCCTCCACTGCTGGTTTTAGCCTTTAGGTGGCAGCAACACCTCATAACTCAGAATATGTTCAGTGTCTTTATTGATATTTTTAGAAAAAAAGACTGCATTTCTTTAACTAATCCAACTTTAAACCCTAAACAAATAATACACCTATTGGCAAAGTATAATTTGTGAAGGATTTCTTCTACAAACCACAAGTATCCTTTAGTCAAAATGTTGTAATTAAAAATGTTAAAAACACAAGTACAACTGTAAAAACATTGTTATTAACAAAGATAAAAAAGACAATATTCACATTCAAATAGTAAATACTGAAGTAAAGTGTTATCAATTGAGACAAAAAAGAAAGAAAAAAAATCTGACCAATCAGAGAGCAGGAAACTGGACCTGGGAGCAGCTTTAGCGACCTTGATGACATCATCGACTCTTCTTCTTCTACTCCTCGACAGGCTGCGCTGACGTGAACAGATCAGGTGTGTGTGATTACATGACAACAACTTTATCTGTATCAAAACAAAGGTAATAACTGTTCTACAACAAAGCTTTAATAATGCTAAAAAGCTAAAATAAAATAGGATATACAGTTACAAAAAATACCAAAAAAAAACTAATAACAGTGAGTTTTAAGGAGATTTAGAAAAGGCCACTAAGTTTGTGGCCTATATGTATAAAAAGAGGTGTATTTGTATAATGTTGCCTCTATATATACAGTCAACGTACTGTAATATGTGTGCTTTAGTACCTTTAACACTGAGCCAGCTGTCGAAGGAATCTCCACCCTCCGGCATTTCACATTTGTAGACCCCCTCGTCAGCTTTGGTCACTGCTTTCAGGGTGAAGTTGCCCTCTTGTTCAAACGGTCCGCGACCAAGGCGGTTACTGCAGATTCAGAAAAAGTCAGGCATCTTAACAAATCTGTCCAAAAAACCCTGTTGCAAATTAAACAAAATACAGAAACAGGTTGTTGTGTTTCCAGGGGACACTAAACAGTGACGCACCATCCATCTACTGCAACATTTAGCTTATTTTATTGAGCCTTGGACTTTAGATTTCCACTGCCTTATTTAAACTGTAGCTGTGCATATGACGATTAAGCCTTTACATCTTTGAACTCATAAATAATAAAGCAAATAAACAAACAAGAACCAAGCAGAACAATACCATTAACCACACCCATGTGACAATTACCAGAAACGATCAATTACGATGTGTGTGTTGTTAACAAATAATGTGGATAATAAAACAATAAACAGGTTAACTTAGCATTTTAGCTAACCTATTGGATGGCCCTGAGTAATAACCCCTCAACCCATTGCTTTGAACTCTATCCTTAATGATTAAATATCCTTAAACATTACTCGATCAAACGGTTGTTCTTGTAGTAGGAGGTGTGGAAGCTGAAGCTGATTTCCTTGGTTTTCTTATCCCTTTGGAAACAGCGCAGCATCACGTCCTCGCCCTCCATCACAGGAAGTGGAGGACTCTCAAGGACCACCGTCGTCACAGAGGCTGGAAAGAGCGGGAAAACATTTCACCTTAAACCTTTAGTAGAAATGTACAAAAGCGTAATTTGAACAAACTGTGTGAATTGTTAGCTCTAAACACACTGCTAAGGTCACAAGTCAACACGAATGGGAACTGCGGAGGAAATTAATAATGTAATTTACATCACAGCATACCAAATGGAGAAAGCAGGGACACAAGACATGTTCATTATTAGGGCGACTGTGGCTGTGAGGGAGTGTGGTCGTCTAAGTACAGTCCATTTACCATTTACCATTATCATTATATAAGGTAACATTCTTCTGAATATTACAGAACAGAAGGAAGCCAGACGTGTACTGAAGGTGTGAAGAAGCCTCTGGGTCACAGCCATAGTGAACCGAGGCAAAAACAACTTTACAAAGAACTGAATGACACTTA